TTAGTCTCAGCAACAGTATTGAATGCGGCACACATACACACACACACAATAATACTGGTGTTACAGCAGCTGTGTGCGATTTTCGGCTTCGGAAAACCTGCATCTGTTGTAAATAAAACCGAGCTCGAGAACAATGTCTGCCTCTGTTTTTGGACACAGAGGCGGTATTATGTGCATACTCGCATTAAAACAAAAAAACACATTGTATTCTTTAAGTGTATGTGTGTGTTTTTTATGTGTCTGCTGAATCATACCGGTCAGCATAACACAATTCACTTTAGATGTTTCTACAGTTGAATGCCTCGGATTTTGTGCACATATTTCGGCACGTAAAAACTGAAAGTTTCATGCTCTCTTGTTACCATTTTCATATTATAGTTTTGGTTTTACGAGCCGTTTTGCTTCTTTTCTTGACATGATTTTCGACACACTCCAATGCATAAAAAGTGCTTTGCGAACACCGTACCGTAAGCCCGGCCACAGATATGTATGTGTAGTTTTTCTATCGGATGCGAATTCTGGTTGAATTTATGCGAGGCCACCACAAAATATAGAAAAGCGGAGAAATTGGGCCAGATGATATGAGATGCTCGGATGAAGCTTTTTTTGTGGGTCACTTGAAGCAAGAGATTTTAACGAAGAGAGGGGGCAGAACTCATTTAATGGATTTTGAGCTAATGAGTAAAAATACAGTTTGGCATCAATTTGACCACGGCTCTTTTATTTGATTGCCATTTTTTGTTGTATCCTCATATTTTGAGTACATTCCAGAGAGATATGATGAAATATGCCATCTCTCATTCAGTGTTTGCATATTAAATAAAAACATTCAGTCAATTTAATTTTAACGGATCGTTTATTTGTTATTCAGGCAAGGGCACAACGGCAAATAATTTAACCTCAACAGCAGTCATGCAAGTTATATTAACATTTCGGAATTTCAAGTGTGTATAAGCATTTCATGAATAAAATCGGCCCACATAAAAACGGAATGGTACATCATAAAACGAGAGAGAGAGAGAGAGAGAGAGAGAGAGAGAGAGAGAGAGAGAGAACAGTGAATCGGTTAATATTTTACGTTGACCTGACATTTCACAGTTTTTTTTGAACCCCTTTAGAAACAAAGTGCAATTAAATACCTTTGCTACCAATTTACATCTCGTTGGGAACAATTTTCGATCCATCATTCGATTCTTCAAACATTTTCCGCTATTTTCCAGCTGGTATTTCCATCAATTATACGGAAAACCTATCAATTAACTTAGTTTTTTTTGTTATCTGTCTACTTCTGCTTCATTCATCCATGACTTGCTTTTCTGACAGAGAAAGATCCATTTCAAACACGCGCGACGCCAGTCTATATTTACCAGCTTTCACTCATCAAACATTCTGTGATTGCTCTTCCTTATTTCACTTATGCGTTTACACTGGACTCGAGCTAAGTGGTCGGTTGCAACCACTAACTGATGAATTAATATATGGCAGTCATGAACTAGAGGTGTCAATGGACAATACAAAATCCCGTTTTTGTCCGTCCGTCCGAAGTGAACCTTTCGGACGGAGGGATAATTCCGTCGGAAGTCCGACAACGGTTTGGACACTCATGACATAAACAGTCGGTATTGGTAGCAACTGGTAGCAGCAACTGTCCATTTAGCTCGATTTCAGGTTTGCTTATCGCATCGAGTATTTATCATGGTTTGATGAGAGTTTGGTTTTCAATGCGCGTGATTCAAACAACCGAAGATGGATGTAATGATATGAATGCTTTCCTTCGGCATTGCTGCATCAAATTGCAAACAGAGAAATTAATCACATTTCTCATCAAGGAAATCTGATTCGATACAGTTTTTTTTTTCTTGTTCTTTTGAATATGTATGTTGATCATTTTCATATAGATGTATGTTGGTTTTGTTAGTAAATGTTTGAGCATTGAGTTTTTCCCCCATTTCACCTTTTTTCCTCTTTTTTTTCAATTGTAAAGCGCTTACAAAAAAGTCAGAAAGTTTTATCATATTCAAGACTACAACTTCAGTACGATTGATAAAGAGCCTAAAATGAAAGACCGAAATCTTAATACGGAACACATGATAACAAAAACAAACAGCGTTAACGATTTTGCACACGAAGAGATAGAGCGACTAACAAGTGATTCAAATAGAACCGGAAATTTAATGGAAAGAGTTGTCAGTGCGCCGTGTGAAAAAGGAAAAAAGAAATGGCGTCATTTCCAATCCAATTACATTTGTTGTGTTTGATTTAAGTTCGGCGAATTTATCTTCCGATTGATTTTATTTGATTTTGATACGATAGAAACGGAAAATCGAAGTCACTCTTCTGTACACGACGAAGAAAAATTGAGATCGATGTATATCGTAATTTAATGGTATTCAGAACAATTTGCTCGTAATTCGCAACGGAGACGAATTCACAAATATATACCCGATTAGGCTGGATGAATTTGTATGCGCTTTATTCAAATGTCATTAGGGAGACTCAACTTATAAGGTGCATGAGGGTAAACGTGTGTGGATGGTATCTACAATTTATGAATGGTGTCAATCTTATTTATCCATTTAATGCGATCAAATAAATACATGTTAACCAAAATTGAGTTTTTTTACATTTCTTTTATTCTTGCTTTTCGTGCGTTGAATACATATTGCTATGTAATTTTAAAACTGAAAAATCTCTTTTAAAATGTTGCACATAATCTTATATTGTTTTGTACGCCAATAGTGTTTGCTTGATTCGGTGTGTATTTTCATTTCGATTTATATTTATCTAACATTTTACGTGATCAACGTCAATTGTGGCTCCAAAACAACATCTCTTTTGTATTCCAAGAACTTGAACATAGGCAAAAAAAGAAGAAACAACTTTCGGAATAATTAAGTGAAGCGTTTTTCTTTTTTGACAAGCGCTATGAACCTTATTTCATATACATTTCAATATGTATTATGAAGGAAACAGACGATGAGAATGAATTTGTGATGCGATTAATTTTCTTAAGAATGTATTTCAAAAGAGTTTTTCTGAAATCAATCTACTTGCCGTTGGAAACTTGAACGTGCTTCCATATATTCTTTCTTCACTTTTTGCCGCAATGTGAGAGTTTCATTTTATTTATTTTATTGAATGAAAACGACCAACTTAGCAATTCGTTTGGGAATCAATTTATCCGTGTGTAAGCAAGATGAAGCTATTCATTTCTAGTAGCTAAACTCCACAACTGACCAATATTATCACAATGTTACGGTATTTCTATCGCAATGGAAGCGTGCAATGTACGCTCTTACCTTGGGGATAGCATTTCAAATATTCGCACTTAAGAATTCCATCTGTTATGACCGCTCACTCGAAAATGACACTTCAGTCGATAGGTGTGTATTAAGGTGTTGATAAAATTTATAAAGAAAATTGAACGATAGCTATTGTTTGGCATTTTTGAAAAGTAATTGACAATTTTCATTTCGCATAAAAGCATGCAGAGTGTACAATGTTCAAATAAATGAACGCATGTGGGTGGCAAAGGCATTGATGCGGTTAAATTAAAGAAAAATCATCGCAATGGCCGCTGAAGTGTGTAGAATTTGCTTTGTTGATCAAAGGTTAATGAAATGAACAAAGTTCAACAGCACACATAAGGGTGCCAGCACCACTGATGACATTTTTGCAATTATTTGTCTGAACTTGTCCGTGAGAGCATTCATTTTTTTGAGTAAGCTGAAGATCTCTTGAAAAAAAAAATCTTTTCAAAATGAAAGCGACTCTTGTTGACACTGTCTCTATTCAAGAAGCTTTGTAGAAGTGGGAAAGGCAAATATTTACACGTGCTAGTGACGCCTGTCATTCGTTCATTAGTTTTCTTGCTTTTGACTGTGTTAAGTTGAATTGAGATCTTTTGTCGTAATGAATCGAATTGTAATTGATATGTCAGAGTGAAAAGCTGTAAGGATAGAACTGAAAAAGCAACGTTTCCGCAAATTCTCTCACGACACGCCACATTTGCTCCAATATATTTCCAGTGTTCATCTCGCAAGGTATATAGCATAGTGTGCTATATTTTTTCATGGAACACCTCATAGTCTATATAACAATCACAACATTACTTAGAAAACTTGTTCATTTGTCGTTTACTTTCCTTCAATTTTTTCCATTTTATTCAATACATTGAATTTGTTTCAATGAAGAGAATTTTTTTCGTTCACCTTATTTGTCTTGAGTCAGTGAAGAGTATACACGAATTCAGTTGTTAAAAAGTTTCTTGATAATTTGTTGCACCTCAAATTGTCGAGAAGGAGTTTTCAAATTAATTGTTGTGAGTACTTTGATTTAATTTAATTACACTCATTGCAACTTAAACAACTTTATATAAATTAACGTTTTACTTTTACATAAACAAACGTCGTCTAATGAAGATAAAATTTTTGCAATTTATAATTTCAAATAGACATTATTTTTCAATTCCACAAGCGCAGTGTGAAAGGAAAAGTATTTACAGTAGTTATATGAGCAACAAAGTGAATACATCTTGTAGAAGACAAGAGTGTATCATTTCGAACATTCATTCAAGTGTCTACCAGCTGTTTACTCTTCCGATGAAACTGAATTATGGGTTAGTTTGTCATGAAGACGTAAAAAATCCAGTTTTATACCACAATAAAGTTTTCCTTAAGAAATGGTCACATCCGAGAAATGTCCCTTTGCTTCTACTTGGAATTCGAGAAATAAATCATGTAATAACTTGCAGACATGATTTAATCTTCTCGAGTGCACTATGAGCAATTATGTGCGCAAAACTGCTCTCTTAGCAAAAATTGGGGTGAACATGCATGGACTGCATGTCGGTTCCATACTGGGTACAAAACTAATTCCTCCCTTAAATCTTCCAAGATATCACTTTCTTACGATTTGCCAGGATTTTTGACCGAAATTCGACAACCCATCAATTTTGATACAATTGGAAATGAAATATCCATTTTCATGAACATTAAATGTGCTCTTTTATCAAACATTTTATTTTTATTTCTTGTAATTAAGATGACATTTCAATGTTTACATAGATTTAGACAGTTTCTGTACGTAGAAATGAACATACTTATAAGATTGAGCAAATATATCGAGATGTATTTTTCAGATGGCGAATTTAAAGTCCGAGTATTTTAAATTTTCAGCTGTCCATTCATCAAATTTCTTGATATATTCCTCACTCATTTCATCAACGAATCCACCAGCCTTTCCTTTTCGAAAGAATCTGAAAAGAGCGAGAATCGTACATAAATCCATCATTTAGTAAATATATGAATTCCGATAACGATAATAAAGCGATTATAAAATGTTTATTCTACTCTTTTTTTTAACACTTACTGAAATCCATTCATTGGTTTGGTGTAAAGTTTCCTCATATTCTCAATTGAGGTATATTCCATGAGCTCTTTTAATTCTTCTTCTCCATACGTGCATTCCAGAAATTTGGCAATTTTTTTAACTGCAGCAAATCGATCGGCCAATTGTTCCTCATAGTTTAAAAACAGAAGATGATCCAAGTTACGAAGTTGCCAATATGCAAGTATATGAGCATGAAGTGGTGCATATAGGCTTCTATTCTCCAAAAAGATGTCGAATTGTTCTTCAATGGTTCCTGAATAGTATTTTAACGCATCTCTGCTCATGTGAAAAAATGAAACAGCTACGTCTTTTGGATTGCGTGCCATATAAATAATTTTCGGTCGAACCGTCCACAATTCTACTGGCAATAAATGTGGTGGTAAATGTGATTGTATCACTCGCGGCGACGGTGCCTTATTCAATAATTCTAAATCTTTATATCCATCCTCCGGATTCACAGTAAAACGTTCTAGAAAAAGACCAGTGTATATTGCAAGCGGTTCTTTGGAAAAATCAAAACCATTTTTCAACTGCGAAACAATATTCAACGTCCATGTTGTGCCCGATTTCGGGTATCCAAGAATCCACACATCGTCACTTCTTACTTTGAATGTTCGGTAGTCATTGGCAAAATCTTCAAAACTCGTGCTTAAAAAACATGATTCGAACTTATAATCTTTTGGGAATGGCAAATGTAAATTGGACGAGGGTTTTGTATTTGCCAATAAAAACGTGTTTTCATTATCGATCATTGTTTTTTTGCCAATTGGTGTTTTCACTTCCTCAAAAATGAAGGGACTTGACGTTTTTTTATCCATTTTCGTACACTTGAATTAAGTTGAACTTTCGGTAAATACTGGACAAAAATTTCACGGAAACAGCTTTTTGACACAAATATTTTACGGCTTTTTGACAATTATCTATAAATTACAATAAAGATAAAGACATAAGAGTCGAAAAAATATATGTCTTGAATTAATATCTGCTTGAGTGGAACAAACAAACAGAAAATGATTTTAAAGCTTGACAACAGACAAAGTGAAACAAGGTTTAGAGTATATAATATATACCATGTATGCAATATAAAAAATAAATAATGATAACTATTTATTACAGAAAGCGTTCCGCTTCAGAGCAAAAACACTACGAACGATCGTTACAATTGTACTGGCAATAAATGTGGTGGTAAATGTGATTTTATCTTTTAAATCTCTATTATCATGACGTTCTAGAAAAAGTATTCAATGCAGAGGTTCTTTCGAAAAATCAAAACTATTTTTCAACTGCCAAACAATATTCTCTGTCCATGTGTTGCATTATTTCGGTTGTTCAAGAATTCACACATCGTCACTTCTTACTTTGAATGTTTGAGAGTCATTGGCACTAGCGTTGGCAAAATCTTTAAAAAAAATTACGAAAAAACATGGTTCGAACTTATAATGTTAAATTTGATAAGATAAAGAAATGTTTGTTGAAATATTTAGATAAAAAAAATTAATGTATCTTTGTAAATCATTTTTTTTTTCGATTTACCATCCCAATATCATGAGCATATAGCCAGATTCACGATTTTGAGATTGTCTAATGATAATTCAAGCTGACCACCAATGAAATAAAAAGACGGACCATTCGATTTTCAAGAACTCTTGACTACAGCAAATTATCGCATATTATCGTAATTCTTATAGGTAGCTTCAACTGAAAATTGCCCCCAGAGAAATTCACTTTTCACTAATTTGCTTTTTATTGGTTCAGTTTTTTCTCGTGAAATATGTATTATGAGTAGTAAAAAAACCTCTCGTAACGTATATAATTGTGTTTAGTCTAGTGATTTGTGTGTCGTATTTGTATGTATAATCTACTATGCAACTTTCATTTGATATCAAAATTGAATTTGAGCTCAATAAATTCACATGATGTTGTCTCAATGCGTCCGATTCAATGTGGCAACGTGTACGATACAAAGTTAAATGAAGATGAATGTACGATTTCACTTTTCTTCATTCACAGGACAGTATTAATATAATAGCGAAGCTCCATTTCCACGCGAATGTGAAAAGTAATTTTTCTCTAGCTCGTTGTTGCTATTATTGTCGATAGCTTTAAAAGCGAATTACATTCTTCGTCTGGAACTTCTAATTTTCTATTTATGGAGATTTCATTCAAATCTTCAACAATATTCAATGCAGAACAAAACCGAGTTTTAAATCGAACCATGGATTTTTTATCCGATACTGAACAAAAAAAAATGTTTCCCTTCGATGTATGCGTTACGTGCAAAAAGTACCGTTCTTTGTGCAGAATGTAGATAAATAAACCATTTCAAAAAATGATGATATACACACAGAGAAATATTGCAATGAAAACTAGATGGCTTGTCGTATAGAATTCGGAACTAGTTGACACTCCGTATAGAATTGTATTTTTCCATATAATTTCATACAAAAAGAGAATACACAAAAACGATATTTTACATGAAGATTATATGGACAAATACAATTTTATATGTATTGTCATCTAGTTCCAAATTTTATACGACATGCCATCTAGTTTTCTTTGTAAAATTTCTCTGTGTGTATATATTTAAAAAGCGTCTCCATCGTAAAATTCGTTACCTTCAAAGGTTTGCATGGATGAAAGGACACACATTATCAAAACTTTAAATGAATCACGTACATTTTTTTTGCGAGTAACAGAAAGAAGAATCCAGCTCTATTCAAAATGCACCACGTTAACGTGAATTTATAACTTTGGACCGTTAATTGGTTCAATGTTACATATAGAGAGGAGCGATGCATCCATGCTGCATTAAATGCGATGATAGAATCGAAGCCATAATAATTTTTATCTTTAAATATTTCACACGAAATGCAGGTTGAATGCATTGATGCACCATCTCAAACAGATGTGTGGTAACGCAACCACTTTACCAATGTAGAAATTAGTTGATATTCGATGTGGTTTAAAGTTAGCAACCAAAAAAGTCGTAGCTAATGCAAACGAATCATTCCAGAGTTTTACATATTCCAATTAAATCTGTATTCACACATAGAATGTCTGCGTGTCGGTGTGTATGGATGCAGTTGTTGTATGCCCAAAAGCAGCATGCTTTTACTGCTTTCGTTGCACACGTAGATTTCAATAAACCGAACAATTCAACCAAAAAGCTCAAGTGCATGCGTTTGAATGTGTATGTGTGTGTGTGTCGCAGAACTAGTGTGACATGACATGCATAACCAATAGACAATGCGATGCAGATGAAGCGAAAAACAAAATAGCGACTGCATAAATATTGAACCGAAAGAATTTGGAGCAATGTGTGCACATGCGGTACGGGACGGGGCGCCAAATCTAATCTAAACTCAATTACATCACCTCATTTTACTTTTTTAAACTTTTTACACTTTGAACATACTTTTTCTCACTGCTTTTTTGTTTTTGCAACGAAACAGTTTTTCCGAATCATACGGTTCGTTTTTTAATCTGATTATATTGCTGTGTGATTCGAAGAGCGTCTGATGAGAATATCTCATGTTACCAGCTACCCCCAGTGCTTCGCTGCCGTTTGCTGCCGTAGCGGTCAACGAAAATGCAAAGTACTTTGAATGAATGTATTGCACTGCGTTTATTGTGTTTTGAATCAATTTTTTTCAACTGTCTGTCTGTTTACAATGAGCTATATGTGAATAAACTTTTCGAATGTATGAAATAGATAATTAATGTAGGTCAGTGTCTTTCTGCAATAAAAAGTAAGTGTAATTTGTATACTTACACACATCTCAGTGTACTCTGTTTTTGAATCAAATCAACATACATAATTTTATGCGAGCAAAAACCAAATATATAAAAAGACAGAACAAAAGCCTACTTATTTGGCTTTTGCTCTCAGAATTTGCACACATTTCAGCATACATTTTTCACTTGTTTTATTTTTTCTCACATCAACATTTGAATTAATTGAGAAAATTGGAGGAAGAAAATTCGGAGTTCGTTTCTTATGAATGAGTGAATGTTTCATTCTTTTTTCGCGGCACTCGCTTCATTGTTTTACTCGCGAAGCCAGTTGTCCATGTTTTGTTCGTGTTTTATTCAGGGACCGGTTCGCGCATATTTCTATGCCTGATACAATAGCTATGCTAAGCATAGCGGAGAGACAAGCCGCAACGCACCCGTCGCCATTCGACTCGAGCTATATCTTATGCGTACGTATCTCGAAGCACGGCCGCCTACATACACGAACATGTGTATGTTCATACAGAGTGGACGGCGATGCGTCGGTTGCATTTGCCGCTATGCTTAGCATATCTATGCTACCTAGCGTATCTAGGCAAGCATGGAAATATACACGAACCGGTCCCTGGTTTTATTTACCGTTGATTATAAAAAGTTTTTAGTTTATCTTCAACAAATTATTCAGATAGCGCTTCATTTTGTTCAACCACCATAAATTTTGCGCCAAAAATTAAAACAGAAACATTTGCACGTTTTATTCAACAATGCTTTATTTATTCGAAAAACAAAAATGCAAATAAAACAAAATCACTTATTTATTGGTTTATTGTTGTATTTTTATCAAAGATTTAATTTGATATATCAAGCTTTTTGTACTACTTTCGTTCAATAAAAATGACTTCATGTTCTAATAACATCAAATTCCAATTATCTGGAATTTGCAATTTTAATTCATTTAAAATGCTGTAGCAATAATTTAAATATAATTTTTGCATATGTTTGCTTTCCTTCAAAAATTTAACAATCGTTTCTGCTTGAGTGTGGCATGCGCAATCGAAACTAGCTTCAACCAAATTTCTTGCTATTTTTATAAGCAATGAAATATATTCATCATCCACTCCGTCTCTGGTTTTGACTGTGAGCTTTTTTAAATTGGGATTTGTTTCTACTGTATCAATCCACTGGGAAAAAAAATATGAATTGCATTTAAGTTCTTCCAACTGTTCAAACGTGATATTTAGGAGCCCTCCTGTGATCTTATTAATTTCGAAATGTTTAACGTTTTTAAAATGAATCTCACCTTCGTAATTAATTTTTGTATCATAAGGCAATTGCAATGTTTCCAGAATTGGTAAATGTTCACTTGCTAATTTAACTAAATTTGCGCTAACAAAACCCATTTTCAAAAATCTAATTTGAGGATTTTTCTCTATCAATTTCCCAATAAATCTATCCTCCATACCAATAACCAAATAATCTAATTTTGGAAAATGATCGTTGAAAATATCATCTTTGATTTTAAACCAAAGTAATTCTAATCGTTGAATGTTCGGAAAGATTTCTTTAAAATTTTGTGAATGAGTTTCAAATTCAGAAAACTGAAGTTCGACGCTCGTTACATTATAAAATGGTTTTTTCACTACATCAAATATATTTTTGCCGCCAGTTATGAAGATTTTGAGTAAATTTTCACAATACTGACTAGCTATTTCGACCATCTTTTTTAAATGACCTTCTGATTTGGGATTGGGCATTGAAATTACTAGTTTTGAAATATACTCGCCAAAGTGTTCAAGTAACACATAAACTAAGTTGATTTCAATATCATAACCAACTTTACCGTCAAGACATATTGAGTATGTGCCGTCCACATTTTGCTGGATAAAAACAACCTTATTCGCAATTTTTTTTTTGAAATTATCAGCAGAATGCATCCGATCCAGCACAGTTATATCGATTTGATCTTGAATGTCATTCAAATCAATCATCTTTGTTTTCCCATCTGCAAATTTTAAACGGTTCAGCCATAGATTCTTCTATTTAAAATAAAATCGAATGATTTTAGTAAGCATATTTTATTTGAATGAAATTGAAAATATATATTTTGAGGGATTACTTCGACCCCTTCCACTTCATTGATCAAAAGCTATTCAAGTATTAAATTAAAATATATAATGACAATATGGACAAATACCAATGTACAAATATAATATTAAAAAATCTTACATTATTTGATTGAGTGTCCTTCATGCTATGAGCTGGGTTGCTAGTTACAGCACCGACACAAAAAACAATGAATATAAAAAAAGAGTTGATCTTCATTTTCTATTAGAATTAAATGTGAAACTTCGTTTAACCATACGTTTAAACTACTTTAATTATATTCCGTTGACACTCTTTATATTAATTTTCATTTCCAAATCTTATCATAGTTTTTTATATCGAAGATATTATGTCGTCGTCAAATCGAAATTTTAATTGCCAAAAAAAGTGCGAATATTGTTTGCTCTCTAAATATTTACATTCATTGAATACGTGCGTTCTTTGAGAGGTCTTTCACGTTATAAATGCCTAGGGGGATTCATCTATTCGTTCATACAATTTCATACAAAATATTCACGTAATATTATAATACCAAATATATGCAGCTATACACATTTATTCGCGCGTATTCCAGATGATTTGGCAATATATTTTACTATTTACTGTGATAATCGTAGACATTTGAAGATAAATCCCCCTAGATAAATGCATATCAATGACATTTTTTTGTGTTATCTATTGATTTGAAAGCATTGTATTTTTCTCGGAATGAACAGCGAGATAAGACAATAATTTGAAATAACAATTGAACGACATCAATTATCATTTCAACAACCTCTATCTTGAAAGTGAAGTAAATATTTATCAATTTCTTTGAACGGACTTCAGGAAGTCTGTTACATTCTGGACAAATCGCGTCAAACGAGAACGCGAAATTGGCTTTATGCCTAGCCAAGTACCAAAATGTTTTTGGAGAATAAAATTTTTTACGCTTCAATATTGTGAATGTTCCCCCCTCATTCGGGATTTGACTTTGGTCAACCCGAAAAACATGTAAGTTCCCAGCCCTCCCCTCATGAAATTTTTTTACTCGCAAGCAGTAATGTGCTTTAGAAATAATCTACAGGGTGCGCCATAATAACTGTCCCTTTTATTTCTAGCCAAAAAATACAGAAATTTGAATCAAATCGAGATATAATTTTATTCGATATAAGAATGAGGTATAGAGATTATGATTCAGCCTTTGACTTTAATTCTTTCCAACTTTCCTCGGATTACCAAACGCAAACGTTTCGAAAACGATTGACACGCGGCACGCACCATATCCATGGGAATTTCGTTCAAATTTTTATTATTTTCTTTTTGAATGCATCCAAAGTGGTTCGTTTCGTAATTTTCAGATCATTGAGCTTCGACGACATGTATCCCCAAGCGAAAAAATCGAGCGGGTTCAAGTCAGGAGACGATGGCGGCCATGAGTCTCTGTCAATGAAATCAGGAAAATTCGTGCGTGGCCATTGTTGTGTCGTATTTGCTCGATGTGCGGGTGCACCATCTTGTTGAAATACCCATGGTTCACCTCTGAATAGTCTTTGAGACTGTTGCAATAAGTTTTTACGCAAAATTTCTCTAATATATACTCTGTTATTGATTTTTACGCCTTCTTCGACGAAAACCAGTGGACATTTGTGGTCGGCCGACATGGCGGCCCAAAACATCAATTGTGGAACATTTTGAAATCGTTCGATGGTTTTTTCTATCTTCGGGAATATCAAGGATTGATGTTGCGTACACACGATCATTTTGCGAATTGAGGCTTGGCTGTAAAAGGAACAACTTTTCATCTGAAAAAACAATGTTCGAGTTTGCGTGCCGGCGCAACAACTCTTTGCATGTTTGCTTTCTGGCTTGTTTATTTTTGATTGTGAGACCATGTCGTCGACATTTTTTGAATGGATTCATATTCAGGTCTTCTGCCAAAACTCGTCGCATTGAAGTTTTACTGATTTTGTGCTCATGAGCCAACTTTCGTCCACTTCTTCGAAGTTCTCGGCGAATTTTCTCTCTCACACGTTGATGTTGATGAGATTTTTGGCACGAACAGATCTTTTTCGTCCAGTTTTCTTTAATATATCAACGCTGCTCCGTTCTTTGTATCGTTTTATTGTGCGCTTTACAAATTTCAAGTTGATATTTTCATTTTGTAGCTGTTGAAGAATATCAATTTGTCTCAAGCCCCGTTTGTGCAAATTTAGTACCAGTTGACGTTTCACATCCATTCTTATTGCAAGCAAAACAAACACTGTACATAAATGCGCAGTATCGTTAGAGTTAGAGTAAGCACCAATAAACATAACGGTAAACGACAGAGTGTATCGCAAGACATTTGAGTATTAAAACAAACGATTGAAAAAAAGGGACAGTTATTATGGCGCACCCTGTAATTAAGTACATAGAAATCAACAGATTTTGGTTCGTTTATTAAAATCATTTATTTGTTTGTTATATTCAACATAGTTACAAAAAATGTCAAATTTGATTTAAATTCTCAAATTGAACAGTTTAGAATAAGCAAGACCAATTTAAACTGTTTAATCTTCAGTGATCTTTTGAGGTTCAATGCATGGTGAATTAACCAAGATTTGATGACCTTAAATAATAATTATATTTGCTACTTAAACACTTGTCGCATAAATTGGCATGAGGTAAACTAAGACCAACTTTTAAACAAGACCAATATTGACCATGGTAATGGAAGGGGTGCCAGGATAAGGAGTGATATGCTTTAATATCATATTGCATGAAGAATTTTACGGCATAATTATGGTTACATGTAGGAAGTATGCAATTCGGTTGATAATCTCCATTATTTGGGTAGATATCAATGTGGCCAATCTTTTTTTTTATACCCAAAAACGCCGGTATTGGTGTGAATCACTTGTACAACTCTGGCATCACAATCATAAACTGGGCGAATTTGTTGTAGATCTTCAAAGCATGGTGCTGCGGGATTTTGATTATTATAATATAACAAAATAAATTAAAAAAGAACTACGATTGATTATGTTAGCGATAAAATAGAAGGATTAAACTGAATGAATCACAAATGTTCAATAAAAGGAAATTGTAAATAGTTTTATTTCATTTTTGTTGAATATTTTTATTTGGTTCCCTTTAATTCTATGATTTTAAGCTGTTGGAGAATGTTTTTTGACCAAATTCCTTTTACGTTACGCAAATACATAAAAAATTCTATAATAACACTACTCACTCTCTCCATTCTCAGTTAATGTTGGTTTTTCAGCTTTACGGCATTTGCAAAGGTAAACCAAAAAATGATCATTAATTTCAGTTATATAATATAGTATTGCTTAATTAAACTCATACATCCACAGTTTCATTGGGTACACTTTTGGATACTTCGGATGTTTTGAGTTTAATTTTTGAGAGGTGAGTTTTACATTCGCAATCATGGTGTACCATTGGCTGCATGCCTTGATTAATCAAGGCTGGGAAAACCTGATTTATTTAAGAATATCTCATATTAAACAATAGTAGCCAGCTACCCCCAGTGCTTCTTCAATTTCTTCACACCTTTAGGTTTGGGTACAATCTGAATCAGTATGTTCACTTGTTGCTCACCATTTCATACATAGAAAGTGTTGGTGGTATAGTTTTATAACTAGATAGTTTTACAAGCTTCAGGACATGAGATGTAAATCTCAGCAATATATTGCCATTCTAACGGAAATCATCATTTAGATATACGAAACATGTTTATTTGTAACTTTCTATCTAATTAAATCAACAGCTTTTGCTATAATAAGTAATGCTTTGAAAGTTGAATGGAACGCGATTAATTATAACATTTACGTAAAACGAAGTTTGCCACTCACACACACACACATACACAGACATAGCGAAATGATTTCGATGTGTTGATAAATTTGATGTAGATTGAGTCTTAACGTCATCAGTGTATAAATAAGACGAAGAAATACACTTTGTCGACGACTTTTCGGATTGAGTGAGTGAGTAAGTAAAAGTAATAAACATTGTAGGTCGTTGTCATTGACGTAAGTTTAGTTTCAGCTACATTCAGTTGATGTGAAATAAGTGAAAAGCATCACTGCCAATGCAAAAAAAGACTATTTTTGTTCCAATTTTCATTTTATTAAATGCGCCAACGTACGAAAACGTTCAAACGTGTAACACCCATAAAATCGTTGTTGTTCTTTCATAAGATTAACTTACCTAAGTTTGACGTGGAAAAGTTAAATAGTGAACGAAAATGGAAGAAGAAAAAATTGAAAACATCGCTTGTTGAAGTTTTTTTATTTGCAAAAATCCAATCAAAAAGAGTAGACTGTCAAAAAAATATACTGAAACCAGATTTTTTTGCAACTTTTGGCAGTGTCATAAACACTACATTTATTTTACACATATCACATGCATCCCTCAAAATGACTAAGTTTTCTGATGATAAAAGATGATTGTTTTCGTTTTTTTCACATTGAAGATTTGAAAACACACAAGAGATAGAAATAGAGAGAGAGAAAGAGAGAGAGAAAGATTGTTTTCCAAAAATTACAATCTTCAAAATAGCAAAGTAGTTTAATTCGCTTTTATTTCGCATCGAATTCTTTTTTCTTTCATGAAATCGAAAAATTCTGTGGGTCAAAAGCAACAAAGTAAATCTGTTTCTTTGGCAGAAAATGAAATTAAACGTCCGTGAAGTTTTCTTTATATAAAAAAGAACGTTAGTGAAATGGAAAACAAAATGAATGCAATTTTCGTGACTTTTACCGTTCACATAAAATGGAATGTTGAAAAGACATTTTTCGAATTCACAAACGAATAATAACGGAATGTCTTACCGTGCACACGTTTAGTTGAAATGAAATGAATTTGAATGTTGACGATTTTCGGCTTGGATCCCCAAATTAAATACAATGTGATAGCCAATTTGGCATATGGAATGTGTACCCCGGTTCGATAACATTATTATATGAAATTGTATCCGTTTGCATAGTTTCACAAACTATTCTTAAACAATGTCGACGCATTATTGCCAAAAAGATAATGGAAACTTTTTCCGTTTGTATGAATTCGGGTCTAGTTTTTATAATACTATTTCTGACCAATATCGTAAGAACTATCTATACGTGCAATCGTGTATAATTTTCGTAATTCGCTTGTCTCAGACAGTTTTCTAAAGAATATAAAAAAGAGGTGGAAACTGTTCCGAGAATCGTTAATGTTCTTTACATACAATGGACAGGACAGATGGATATCTACATCAAAATTCGGAGATACATTTCTCTGGGCAATATATGTGAGGAGCAGCCGGGGGAACACTGAGGAGCTCCTAAGTAAGGGACTCCACTAAATTATACCGAATAGACGCAGTTTGCGAAATGGATATGTATCTATCCAGTTCCATTTTATGTTTTTTTTTTTCAATTCGGTGACATTCATTCACTTTCGTTTGAAGAACAGCGACAATAATGATAATGACCGCTGAGTATTGAAATTCTCCGGCTCTGTATTTTTTTGCTATAAAACAGTGAATAATATCAGGGTTAAAATGAATAATAATCATGCTGACCCTTTGAATCAATATTCATACAGCGGCAAAAGGTATAAAAAGAACTGTCAGAATTTTGTGAATAATGTCATGCTTGAACTGAAACAAGTTGTCTTTCTCCAAATAAAAAATGAGTTCCGATGAAGTCGTTCTTCCGATTTGTGACGGAAATATTAAATTCAATATATTTTTTTGTCACTTTTAATGATGGCCCCTGGGAAACGGACATTTGATCGCCGGAATTGAAATTGTTTGCATTCAGATTTATGCCATTGTGGCCGAATGAAATGCGATAAAGCAATAGAAAAGTGGAAATGAAATTTCTCTCAGTCATCATACAGACAGACAACAACATATTTTCTTCAACTTCAAAAAAAATGAAGCCATTTCATGTGATAGCAAAAAGAATTTGCAGATTGGTGCCATTCAATCGGTTTGTTTTCGCTATATATGATATATATATAACGTTGAATCAATAATAATTTTTACTTCAATCCAGATGGATTTCATTGATTCCATTCACAAAGTCAATGTTTGTCACACCACAAGGTTCTTTCCTTTCTCGTTCTCTCTCACTCTCTGTTTTGTGTGATGTGCAAATGATATTGTCATCATTTCAACTTTTATGCTTTATTTATGATTTGTTTTTGTTTTTTCATTCTGTGGGAAAATCCACAAAGCCATTGCAAAACAGAAAACCACCATATATTTGAAAAATTGTCATACTGTCGATCACTCAATTGTTCGTCGTCTTTCTATTGTGTGATGCATAAAATTATTGTTGTAATCGTAATCATGAACGCAAATGATACTTCCGTTGATCCAATTTTGCGAACAAAAGCGAGAGAAAAGTTATCCCTTGCTTTTGTGTGCAACACACACACACACACATCAACCAACATGTATACATTGAAACTGAGCTGAGCGCTCTTTTGAAGTGCATGTAAAAGTTGTTTTCTCACTCTCATTTTGCTTTCTCCATTTATTTTATGACCGATAAAATTTATTGAAATAAAATCGTAATAATACGGCTGCTGTTTTGCTTTCTTCTCTTCTTTTTCCTTAGCTCTGTGCGCGTGTATATGTGTGCGCTGAGGATTGGCAGAAGACAGCAGTAAAAGCAATGGATGAATACTATTAAATTGGATGTAACGCTGTGGATGACTAGCAACAGTATTGTGATCTCAAGGAACGAAGCGATTCATCCATATTTTCGTATGACCTGATTAACTTTAATAATGGGCCAAAATCCAAAATGGCATGCAGAACAGTTAAATCGATATATTTCCGACTTCAGCAAAACCATTCATAATATTAGTAACTTGGACAATTACCATTCAGATAATCACTTCACTTCAAGTGGAATTTCTAATGAGAAAAACGGTAACTTGGCACAAAACTTGGCCGACATCAATACAAACCGTGCTGTAATCGCATCTTCTGATTCATTGTCACCATTGTCCACGACGACAACATCGCATCTAAACAATAGATTACAATCGCTCACTCATCGACAAGTGCATCAGTTTTCGGGCGACACGTTTGTAAGCCGTTTTTCCGATGCCGTTCAGTCAGCGTTAACATCGAATTTACAACAACATCAACAAGCCAATTCAACAGCTACAAAACTGCTTAACGACAATACAAATAATTATGATGATGATGGGTCAATTATTTCAAACTATTGGATGCTTTTGTTGATTGTACTCTACTTCCTTGTGGTGCTTGGTGGAATTTTTGGTAACGCTTCGCTCATTGTAACACTTTTCACACAATCGTCAGCTCGCCTTCGTAATCCATTGTTGGTTGCATTATGCATTGCCGATTTAATGGTAACCGGTGTTTCAGCACCATTGACTGTCGTTGCACTAATTCTCGACGCACGAAAAACCATCACCACAACACTCATTTGCAAATTAATTCATTTTGTGCAGGTAAGTGATTGAACAAAAATTTATATGAACACGTGGTTTTTTTTCACACAGACATGCAGACACCTAAACTTAAACGATTATCACAACTAGTTAGATTGGAATTTTCCATCTTTTTTAAGATAATACTTACTCGCGAGGTACATAATACTATAGCAACCAATAAAAATGATAGCAAGACCATGGTCGAAATATGTATCAAATAAAAAAAATTGTCAAACAGATAAATAAAGCTTAGACGTTCAGTCCATCATCATTATCCGAAGAGCAATCGACTTAAGAAAAAAGAGGCTTTTCTTCCACATAATCCTCGCAGATGAAGAAAAAAGCTAATCAGTCCCAACCAAATTGCTTTCTTTTCGATTTCTTCATTGGTTCTTATCGATTTTTCGATAAGTCCGTATATTTTCGTTAATAGCAATATGTCTATGTCATGGAATTTTTCACAAAATGAACGCTAAAAAAGAATCCTTTATTTCATAATGGCTTTTTTTTCGGTCATTGGATATTGCATGATACATGTTTGTTACAGAGATCATGACAGAGATTAAATCAAATTAATTGGTAGATCGTCCTCGAATGAAAATTTAAAAAAAATGTGTTGTTGCAGCACTTCTGTGAAGTGCTCTCTATCCATAAAACCCATTAGAGTGGTAATATAATTTGGCTAACCTTTTCAGAAAATGGAGAAACTCTTTAACTTTAAAATGTACGAAGATTTTTATTTTCGTTACTGTTGTTGCTGAACAACACGTAGCAACCAATTCACCGAAATTCAATTTTTGGCATAAATGTGGCTTTTATGCTGCAGACATAGTACAACATAAAAAAATATCCTGCAGTTATGTTCGGGATAGAGAAGAAGTAATATCCAATTTCGTATTTTTTTTAATTTCATCCTCAAACAAGCAATTCATGTCCCAGTTGCTAATGAGGTTTCATCAGACAAAGTTCCATTCAAAAGTAACTTTAATGTATGTATCTCGTCTTTCACCTAATGATTGTTGTCACGGAATTTTCTAAAGGATCTGTTAAATATTGATAACAAACTAAAACGACCCGGGCTCAATAATCAGTGAAGTTAATTTTTCGACATTAATTATCGTTTGTAGTTGTGTTTGCTCATAAATAAATCACTTTCAAGTTGATTCATTTCATTGTTGAAAAGTTTGCTACAATTATAAATTCAAATTGGTTCATCTAAAGAACCGAATTCAAATGGACTTTGGAGATAGCTTACTCATCTTGTTTGATTTGTCGGTTCTTTTCGGTGAATTCGTTTTTTTTTTCTGTAAAAGCATCAACAAATATTTATCCATCCATCAGTCAAAATATGCACAACTCTTCAACTTATTTAGTTGATTTGAAAAGTTTAACAATGATGAGCGAAAATTACTCAACATCTGCATTGTTGTAAAAGGCCTTGGCGCAATAATTAAAGCTGAATGCTGAAAATTCGCGCGAAAATCACAAGACAGAAATAAATTGAAGCGATTTGATCAAACGTAGACGACACATCATCGCCTTATGACGATAAAATTATCGTTAATTTTAATGAGATAGAGCATTGTCTACGCCATTACATTTGCTACACATACACACACAACCTATAAGTAACACTGATATCGATTGAATTTCCTTTGCGGTGTACGCATATATTCTTTTTTCCCATTTTACTTTGCCTCGTTACAATTCTATCGCAAGCGGATTTGTGTCACGAACCTCACATCGTGTATATATCAACATTTCGAAAAATTAATGCGATTTTAATGTCGCGTTCAATGCAATAAATTTCTAATTAGTAATCATTTCATTTATATTAGAGGCGATTATGGCTGAAATACGCACATACGACGATAAAATTGTGCGAAAATTTAAGTATCAACCGTGGCTGCGGTTATGACACATTTTGTCTACGTATATTCATGACGGAAATCGAAAAATGCACCACATACTTCATATGTGGATTTTTTCACAGTAGGCAACACAAAACGTTCGCACGATTATGTCAATCTTTGTTTAATATCATATGGCTGTATTATGGCCATTTACAACATGCCGTGCGCGCGAAATCACGCACAAAATGAACTGTGTATATGGAAACATATGCCGACAGTTATGAGACAATGATCAGATTTTCATGCTATATTCCCATCAGGTTTTAATGCGTTTGTAACGTAAATTTAATTAAAAAGTTGGATAAAATCACACTGAAGGGAGAATATAAACTTAATTCTAAGCGAAAGCGAATACAACGTAAAAAATGATGGAAAAAAATCACCGGATTTTCCATATTGAAATATTGTTACTGTTCGGCGAATAGTCGATTTTTCACTCGAACAAACCTAAACTTCTATTTCAATTAAACGAAATTATTCTCTTCAAAGTGATATTTAAAAGATTAGATATCATCACATATACAATTTTTTACTTGTATAAATTGTCCGTTTCAAAATCACTCTGACAAATGATCTGAATTGCTCCCGCGAGAATCCATAAGAGACGATAACTTATGTGGCAAAAACATTTGTATTCAACGCAATGTCATTCAAAATGATTTTAAATTTCGCGGTGAATGAATATAGATTGAACATTTTCTATATTTTGATATATTTAATTGTTATGACTTCTTTGAATCTACCGTAATAAATGGTTGATGGCAAATCGTTCCCAAGATACTTATGAAAATAGCAGTCTATGTATTTCGGATGGATATCCATCCGAGATATTTTAGAATATCTGGATATTCAACGCAACGGTATGTCGCGACGTATATGTGTATCAAGTGCCGCACGTACACAGTCACACTGTGTCTGTATTTTACGTGTAGCGACATACCGTAGATTATATGTGCGACGCACACAGCTCTGGCTCTGTGCAGTTGCGTTAAATATCCAGATATTCTAAAATATCTCGGATGGATATCCATCCGAAATACATAGACTAGAAAATAGCATTACATCGTAATGAAAACACTTCTTCTAAAGACGTCGGCCGATTTCTATTTGGCCGGTACACAAATCACAAACTCCACTTACAAACATGCTAGCAAACATGTATTGAATAATTTTTCCAGCAATTGAACTTACTCTCACCATTAGACAAAAAGCATACACTTCGTAAATAAATCGGAAAGTCGACATTTTAAAAATTAAGATAGAAGACTGACTTTTATCTATTTCATGCAATGCAAAATGTATTAGAGATGATGAATTTTTTAGAAGCAAAAATTTGCGATACTCAGAAATAAGCTGCGAAATATTCCGTAATGCAGCATATGCAATTTATTTATGGAAAATCTTCCAACACATAGTGATAAAGCTGTTTTTTTTTCTACAGCTTTGTCTTTTTCCAAATAATATTTATAAAACGCTAACCAATTGGAATAAGAGCGAGATATTTTTTAAACATTTTCCATGAGTTAGCTCTGCAAAAGTTCATCCACTTTAAATTGAAAGTGTTTCACGGCGTAAATTGTGATGTGCAGTATTCTATTTTCGTTCTCGTTTGTTTTTTCCCACACTTGTTTGGGAATCTGCAAGATAAAATTTCATTTTTCTTCTCTTTCTCTCTCCCTTTGTCCTTTTACTATAATTGCATTCAAGGGTTGAAAACATTTTACCTGAATTGTCAACGTCAGCGACTCACTTTTGTCTTGGAATATTTCATTTAAAAAATGGAAAAAAAATCATGCGGTTTTGTTTCTCGCTTCCAGAGGAAGTTCAGACTGACGCATTTTCACTTCATTTTCGCCGTTTTATTTTTTTAAAACAAAATTTTCCTTTTGTTCCCGCTATCTAGTCGTTCATTGTTGTTGTTGTGAAATGGTGTCGAATGTATGACTATGTGTTCTTCTTACGAAGCTGAAGTTGTGATAAGGAAAAAAAGGGACTGAGCAGTTAGTTCATCGACTTAAACGCATTTAATGAAACTTTCACAACAGAAAGAAAAACGCACACGAAAAAAAAATATGCGAACGAAAGGGAAAATTTAAGTAGCGATAACAGTGCAAAGTAGCAGCCAAACGCTGAAAATCATCTATAAAACAAATGTAGTTGGGGAAGAAAATGAATAGAAAAAAGGGAATACAGCGACAACGACTTCAAAAAGCTTTTATTTTGATTAATTCTTTTTTATTGCATTGACGTAAAACTAGATTAAGACGGTTATTAGTTTCAGCAGTAGCGTATATTGCCAATGGTAACATACAAATACACTTTGTGTTTATCCAAATGGCATAATGGCGTTCCCTCTCTCTCTTTCTCTCTCTCTCTCTATCCATCTCGGTTTTTTTTTGTTGACAATGCATATTGCATACTGCACATTTTGATACATATAGTTTCAAGTTTTTGTTCCGGTTTTTTGCTGGTATCTTTGGCTTGTGAAAGACGATTAAGTAGTTTCGTTTTCGTTTCACCGATTTTCAGTCATCGGTTTTTGTGTTCGGTTTCTTATGTTGAGATTTCGCATCAAGCATATACCATGTTTTTAAAAGGATCAAATCGATTTTACGCTTGGGTTTCTCTGTTCAACAATCGATGAGCGCTACATTAATTTTCTAATATTGGGAAAAAATGATGTTATATAGTTTATTTTTGTCTCATTTTGTGGTCGCACAGTAAGAAAATACGGTATTGGACATCATTTTGTCAAGCAGATGCAAATTTAAATTCAACATACTCAATATAACCTAACATTCTTTTTTTTTCGTAACTCATTTTTGTTGTCTTTTTTCTTCCATTCAACAGTCTGTTCCAGTGGCTGCGAGTACGATAAGTTTGTTGATGTTGTCTCTCGATCGATATGCTACTGTTAAACATCCACGTTTGGCACAACTGCGTCAGCGTCGTTTTTTACCAACGTTTCTTGCGTTTGCCAGTTGGATTAGCGCAATTTGTGTCAGCATTCCGATTCTTCTTGAAAATAGTTCATACTATGATGAGACAGAGGTTAATTCAACACGATCAAATCACACAGCGCAAACAATGTTGCCCGAATTAACTAAAAAGTTGTTGATTGAAAACGATATAAAATCCAGCACTCTCAGCACAAATCCATTTGCATCCATTGCAAACGCGACGAACGAAACAATTCGAAAAAATGACGAGTTGAAATCATTGTGTCAGCTAAATTTTGGGACAATGCAAATGCCCAGTGTTTTTCTAACAATTTACACATTGTTGGTGTTCATTTTACCCGGAATAGGTGTGATTTTAAACCACTGGGGTGTACATCATAAACTGTGTGCATTGTCGCTTACGGCTCGAGCCGCACACGGTGAATTACCATTGCCGATGCCCATCATGAGAAGACCGACGCATATGATTATCGTTACTGGAATGGCCAATGCCGAGTAAGTATCACCAGAGAATTAACTAGATTTTCAAGGTTCTTATATAGTTCAAACATAAATTTATGCTATCGCAGCTTACTATTCTTATTCAAAAGTTTACCTTGCAAATATATTTCAACCACTTTTTGTTAATTTGTATAACAAAATTCGGCTAAAATAACCACTATATGTCTCAAAACAATCTAATGAAATAGAAGCATATAGATGGTTGCTGCATAATAAAATTACATTCAACTAACTTTATTTCGAAAACTTATTCAATTTTGCATAGTGCGGTACGTGAAGACGACGACAGCACAAATGACGAAAATAATCAGCAAAAAGATGAAAGACGACATATGATGGATTCAACGCGTCTAAAGGCCACCCCACGTACACCAAGGTATGTATCTCTTTTGGCACTTAAATAGAAAATTATTTGCTTTCAACCGGCTATTTTACCAAGAATGAAAAACGGAATCTGATGTAAAATCATTATCGTCATCATTTAAAGTGGAATTTCAGAGCAAATTCTTGGGTTCAAAGAAATGACAAACACAGTTATATTTTCATAAGAATGAATACCCTTTTACAAATTGCTCAACAAATTTGCGGCTTTTTAGCAACACTCATCCCTTTGTAATCTGATTCGAACAGTTTAAAGATTTGTTTAATTTGTATGATAGCCGTGTGCGACATTAAAAAGGTAATGATTGAGAAAAGACATTTTATAGGGGACAGCACGCTTTTGCAACGTCTTCTATTAGCAAAACCATGTTGTCACAGCAACTCAAGCATTTTATAGTCCTGAAATAAATGGACGTTTGATCTAACTTACCGCAAAATAATTTCGATTCGCACGAGCATGGAAAGTTTCGACAGACGACAGCACAAACCAGCCAAATCGTGATTGGACTATGTGCACGTTTTTGAAATATAAGTACGAAATTTTAAGTTAAATTATTTTAAACAACATGAAGTTCACTTTAAGCTCAAATGAACAAATCTTGAATGAATGAATCTTGAGTGAATAAAGATATTTTTCACTTATTGCGATAATTTTCTATCAAAAAAAAAACTTTTCGAAAAAGAAACTCATTATATAAGAAAATATACAATACGTCTTGCTGCCTTGCTAATACACGTTATTCAATTTTAATGCAAATGTGCTGTATCACATTTATCTATATTCTTATATTTTGTTCAGTTTTCAAAATTGGAAATGGCGAGATAACGAAAAAAAATCATTGTTTACAATCGCTTGACGCACTCGAACGTTGTGTGGATCTAAGCTTCAGGTCTTGTGTCCAAATCAATTTCTTATTTGTATTTAAATTGCATTGAAAACAGAATTTCATTAAATCTTACCATTTCAAATTGGAAAATAATGAATTGTTTCCAAAAATCCATTTAGATAGCATTTCATGCAAACGATGAATCAACCATTTATGCCCAAGACAATTAAATCAAACCGTAAGTTGCGCGGTTTTACATGGCACGTTTCGATTGCTATTATGTTCATTGTTGGGATGGAATTAAATTCAGAAAATCAAAGAGGAAATGCCTCATTGTCTTACGTGCGATATATTTTCTTAACTCATGTTAAAGCACTTAAATCTCGAAACCACATAACAACTTCCAAACAACATTGTTCTTGCACACCTGGATTTATCATGTACTCTGAACATGTTTTATTTATAATACATGAGAATGGTTCTCAACCATGGTTTGAATGAATTAAATTGGGCAATGGGCAAAATACGTAGATAATTGAATTAAGAAGATTACCTTAACAATAAATGCCATTCCACAAAATGACTGATGATTGATGCATGAGTTTCTTAAATTAATTACAATAAAGTATTGTTCGCAGGATATTTTAAGTTGTATTTTCCGACTACCACCTCCGTATTTCTATTTACACACCGAACGTATTGTGAAATTAAAGCGGATATTTTGTAAATAGCAAATTTCATGAAAATATCATTTTGTGTATTTGAATTGCAGATCATTACGATATGGACATAGTATTCGAAGTCATGCGCATAATACTAAAAATGCGGCACCATCCGAACTTCCATTAACCCAAACCTCAACGTTGCGGTCACGTCGACGTTTAGCACGACTTTTGGTTGCTGGTTCATTTGTATTTGTTTTCTGTTGGTCACCACACGTTATTTTTCTCATTTGCACAAAATGGTCAGCACGTGAAACGTACTCGAAAACGGCTGCTAATTATTCATTACTTTTGGGTAAGTCTATAATCTATATTCGTCATTTCCTCATAGCAAACGTCCTTCTGAACTCTATCTGAATTTAATCGAACAATTTTCATTTTCATTTTCATTTACGGCACACAGGTTACACACATTCAGCATTGAATCCAATATTGCATTGGCTGCTAAATCAAAATTCGTTACGACAATCGTCATTACTATCCCGTTTAACCAGTGTTCAACGCTATCTGCAAACCCATTTTCATGAGCGAAATCACCAACCACCGCCATCCTCAACCAATGAGGCTGCCTTAGGCCCCTTCAATCCTCGCTTCATCAAAGCTCGACCACAACCATATAACCAACCACCAGCTTCGTCACATTTTATGTATTAATTCGTGAAGGTGAAAGACTGTTTTATGGCTGCTCGAATAGTGATGGACACAGTCAAGTTAAGTACAGGAAAGGAATTGGCCAAAGTAAACGAAAAACCCCAAAAGTACATTGGCATTAATTAGTTTGAAAAAACCGCACGTGTGAAAGGATGCGAATGTTGAAATTGAAAGTGATGCAATTGACAAAAGAGATAACATCTTTATGATAACACAAAGCCATACGTTTTGTTTACAAATACTTGAAATGCAATGTGTTCTTCATCATGAGTGAAGCAGATGAAGTGCGAGTGGCTAACCTCATCGGAATTAAGTGAAATATTTCTTGTCGACTCTGTCTCTAACGCTATCCATATCTCTCCCTCTCTCTCTCCCTCAATGTCAAATTAAAAGAAAATAGTATTGAAGCAAAAAACAAACAACAATCAAAAGAACATCATCCATAAAAGCAATGAAGCCTCTCGAATACAAATGAGATATATGCGGACTGCGGAGTGTATGTGCGCTTCTATTGGATTGCATAAGTTGCACGATGACAAATGTCAGATTGTTGGAATTACAGTTCTCACCATGAATTCTATGTAAGTGGCGTATATGTTTTTGTATTACTATGTGAAATGTATTCCATAAATATCAAAGACTAGTGTCCTTTTCAGTCTATCATTCGCATTCATTCGTTTATTTTTTCTAAAGCACCTCTGCCATTCGCTTATGCAACAAGTTCAATGCAATTTTTTTCTCTTCATTTTTTTTTGTTTTGTTTTGAAAGTCAAACATCAACATAAGTGGAGCAACTCAAAAGACAATGACATTTCTCAAACAAATAATAAAATGGAATCCAACATATTTTCTTTTATTGACTCTTTATGCGCTTCTTGAATTATTTGACGCACGTTGCAGAATTACGATAACTGTTTTTTTTTTGTTTAATATCGACTCCAGTTTATAGCACACAATTGGAGGAAAAAAACTGAGGAAATTTCTTTCGAACAAATGAGAATACTTTTTTTCAAATGAAGTAGAATTCATTGTATTAAAATTATATAACAGAACAGATGTGTTTATGGAGCGCATGAAAAACCATTCTTTATTACTCGAAATATCGTTTAATCGAATTTATATCGCAAACTTTACTTAACATTTTGAATTTGAATACTCACTTACTCTCCAGTTCATGAATCAATATTAATTTTCAGACGTATACAACATCGTCTGTGTCAGTGGAGAGTTTCTAATTCAAAATTGAGTTTGCTTACTTGATTTTTTTTTGAAAAACCCTAATCCAAAATTTAAGTCCGAGAAAATGTACAAACTCTCAAATATAACGAACGTTATGCCATTAATAATGCCGATATTGATGATGTACGCATGAGAAAAACTCAAGTACATCTTGAACAAAATCAATATCTTATGATAAAATGATATGAACGATAAAATTCGGCAGATTTTCTTCATGGTGAAAATGAACGTAATAGATATACTTTGATAACTGAAAGTGTTTCATCTTTTTGCTGCTGATATTATGTTGGGTGAAATCTGTCCTTTTGTTTTAAAGATCGAAAATGGTGAATTGTACATGAAATTTTGTCTCGTGGGAAACAAGGACACTGTCACTTTTCAAGTCAATCAAAGTAATTATGATTTCCGTCCTTTCAAAGAGTAGAACAAATTGTTTTTATCTGGAGCAAGTGTATGAAAGATGCTCCTACAAAGTATGAGAGATAGAGAGAGTAAGAGATGAGATACGAGAATGACTTTCAGATAATTTACAAGTGTACCCTCTGCTTAAAAAAGGGTTCATATCCATATGGTCTACTTCACAGCTGATACAGATGTCTTCGAAAAAAATATTCCAAAGTTGCGGAGATGAATAGTGCTTTAGGCGGACGTTGTATAAATTACTCAAGTTTTGAATCTCATCAAATATTATTGATTTTAGAGAACTGACACAGAGTTTCGGAGGTTTTCACTCCTATTATTTCATCGCTGATAGCGATGGAAAAGACCCAGACTTTGTTGAAAACTGCGATTTTTTTTTTGCTATTCAATTTCATCTTCAAATTACTTCCTTTTGAGTGAAGCACCCATTTGAATTGAAAATATCCCGAATTATCCTTTTGGAGTTCACAATCATTTGAACCTCTAATTGATTGCATGACAATCAAAAATTGATAGGAACTTCTTTTCATTCATCCGCCTCTTTTTATTTACTTGATTGCAAATTTTGCAAATGATTTGAATAGAAATATGAATCAAGGAAATAAAAATTGATAAATTGAGATAAAATGATTCATCGTTAACACATTGAATGCTTGAGTAAAGTATAATGATGTCTCTAGTAGTATATAATATTTTAATAAGCCAATTAATAATTGAATCTTTCGTTTAAACGGCATAAGAATGTAAACAAAACAAAACTGAGAGGAGATGATTCGGCACAAAATAGTCTACCTTTTAAGATATTTAAGCTTCCTGAAACAAAACAAAAAAATAATACTATTTTCAAATATGTGCTGTACTATTTGTATCTGTGATTCTAACTTAAAATGAGAGTAAAAAAGAGCAACCTATACATACAATATATTTTTCAATATCTTTTCAATAACAAAATATGTGAAATAATAGTGTCCACTTTGAGGTAAGAACGACTAATTAAAATATTCATTTGAAATAAAACACACAAACAAATTTCAATGAAGTTTTAAAAGTTAAGTACAAAGATTAGCTAGGCACATCTACGGAAATATGTGTGTTTTAAAGTATGTATATATAGAAGTCAGAGAAGAAAAAATAATATCCAATTAATTTAAATTTAGATTTTATGAAATGTTTCAAGATTTTTCGACCATTTTCTCATTCTCTACCAATTGAAATGAAATAAATTTTGCAAAATGATATAAACTGTTAAATGTGCAACTTCTAAAAGTCTATAAATATACTTAAAATATCAATTCCATGGCAACTTAATTGATGGTCATTATTTTACGCATATAATTGGTCTACGATATACATATTTATGAAATTTAAAACATAGCATCACTCAACATTGTTGCCAGTCAATGGACTGAACTCCAACATTGGTGGTGGTTGGTATGAATTCAATGAACAACACCAAATTTATGTAAGAAAATTTCATTTTACAGCATTATTATTTGAAACCAAAAGGACCCATTTTTCGCAGCAACGATTCAAATTCAATTCATTCAAGTCATTGAAGGTAAAATCGCTTCCAATGCAATAAACATAAATATAACTTTTGTTACCTGAATTTCCAGTCATTTGGTGGCAACTGTGTTGAGTGAAACTATGATTAAAAATAAAATTAAATGAAATCATTCGTCGTCCGCATAGGATGGGTCGATTTCAATTTAACTGAGGGAACGGTACCTTTTTTTGCAAAACAAAAATTAATAAATTAGGATTACACATAGATTTTATTGAGTTAAGAAAACCCAAAAAAATTGAAGTCACACGTTTTGTACAGAACTATAATGAAATGAATCGTCGATGAATCTAATAAAGAAAAAACGACGCGTCGATTGAAGAATGGATAAATGTCTCAAGGTTTCCAATAAAACTGAAAAATGAATTATGAATAGAGTAAAAGATAAAAAGGGGCTGCAAATCGGTTTTATCATCTTTTTTACAGTACATATATATTTATTTTTCTTTTATGTGTTTTACGTTTATTCATCGATTCCATGAGTCAAGGCCTTTGAAATCATCTTTTTTTTTGATTTCAAATGATATACGAGTATAAAATGCGATAAGGAATTTGACTCGTGTGTTTGCACTGTGCAGAGACAGTCGTATTGAATTCCTAAAAACAAAGTGAAGAAATCATAACGCATCGAGAAAAAACGTAAGTGGGACACACAAGATGATAAAAAACGTATTTCTTCCCTTTTTTTGCCTTTTCAATGCTACACATACACAACGATTTGGCACTATCGTAATTGACAATCAGAAGAAGAAGAAGAGAACAGACAAAACTCTCACAAAAAATATGGATATAAATTTGCGATAACAAACTACTTTCACCCCGAGAGTAAGAATGAATTTGTTGTGCACAGTGAACGAAAAGGGAAAAAATACACATACACACATAGAAACAGCCAAAAGAAACACAAAATAGGAACGAATGAAAGAAAAAAACAGAGAAAAGTAAACAAAGCAAGCAACTCAAATACACTTTTATTTTTAATACTATTGATATGGTGTTATGCTATCTTCTCTCATCTAGTCTTTTGTCATTGAGGCAGAAGTGCGAAATTTAACGAAAAAGTAGTGCTTCGTCGAAGGCCCATGAATTTCGTTATCAAATGCAAACCTCTATTCATCAATTTTTGGTAACAAATTTGATGAATACAATTGGGTCGACTACATCTATGGTGAAGTAAATCGACGAATAAATAGAATTTTGTGAAATGAGGAATCAATTAAGAAAGAAACGATATGGAATCTATACTAATATTTAAGAGAATTTTTTTTTTAAATTTAGAAATACACACTTGTGGAATAGTAGAATCACTATTTCAAGTGATTTATCCCGAGCGCAATATGCATATATCAGTAATGTGCGAAGGGGGGGGGGGGGGGGGGGGGGGGAGATTTTTTATTTTTTTTTTTTTAAATATAGATTTTTTTGGTCTAAAAAGTGGTCGGTTTTTGGTTGTTTTTTGGGACAGCGGGGGATACA